GGGGGGCAGCGGGCGTGGGGAGGCACTTTTCCTCTGCCCGGCAGCTCTGCGGGACCCCAGTCGGAGCCGGCCCGAGGAGGAGGAGGATCCTAGGACCCAGGTGAGCGAGCCCGGGAATGCTGCTGCGCATGTGCGGGAGTTGCCTCACCCGGTTCGTATCTAGGGATCCGACGTAAGTCGGATCCCCGTAAGTCGGGGACTGCCTGTATCTTTATTATGTCACTCAAGAGTCCTATAATACTGTTTGAACAAACCTCCAGCATAACAAACCACGCCACAGATACACATCCCAGAAATAATGTTATTTAAAAGACTGGAAATACCAGATATAACAATGAATGTGCCTCTGTATCAGCAAATATTATAAGATAGGGGATAACTGACAGCTACTGATGAGTGCTAATATCACACAAGGGCATCTGCTAGGGATGTTGATAAAAAAAAAAGATGTCTCTCCGTACAGTTAACATTCAAGAGAAATTACAGCAGAACTGGAGGAGAGACAGGTTGGGAACTGATGCACATTCCAGAAAATTAAAAGGTTTCAGTCTAGAGTCAAATAAAACAAGCCCATACCCAAAAACTGAAAGCCAAAAATTGGTGAACTAGAATTCTCAACAAGGGACCTTGGCAAAATGGCATTACTCAAATATTATAAACTTAAAAAACAACAAATAGTTCAGTAGCACCTTAAAGACTAACAAAACATGCAAATGGTATCATGAGCTTTCAGGGGCACAACCCATTTCTTCAGATGACCAGAGTGTTGGAATCAGATCCAAGAATAAATAAGGAAAAGGGGGAGCAGGAAAAAAAATGGAGGGGAGGAAGAAAAAAAAGAGACAGAGAGTAGATAAGCTTCAGAGGGTAGCCGAGTTAGTCTGTAACAGGAAAGACTTAAAAAAAATAGTCTAGTAGCACCTTAAACACTAAATAGTTAGGAGAGGCTGATAAGACCATTAGTTTGCACTTGGAAATGTCATCTTTCTTTCCAAGTGCAAACAAATGGTTCTTATCAGATTCTTGTAACCCTCCTTCCCTTATTTATTCTTGGATCTGGACTTGCAACACTCCGGTCATCTGAAGAAGTGGATTGTGCCCACGAAAGCTCATGAAACCATCTACATGTTTTGTTAGTCTTTAAGGTGCTTCTAGACTATTTGTTGTTTTTTAAGTCTTTCCTGTTACAGACTAACGTGGCTACCCCTCTGAAGCTTTCAAATATGATAGAATGACAAATAGTCAGTGAAATATTGAAAACTTGCCAGTAAACTATGCAACAGTAAACTATGTGCCAGTAAACTGCACCACAGAGGTGATGGAATAAAATATAAAGGGATAAAACTTCCTGAGAACTGTGGATTCTGTGTTTAAACAAAGCCCAAAGCCTACCTACATACGCAAGTAGAACATAATCGTTGTCGATTATTGCTTAATTTAAAAAAAAAAAAAACTCCCTCTATGGCCAGGTTATTGCTTAACCGTCCACTGAGGGAATTGTTGCATATTCCTCTGACACGTCTGGTACTTGTCAGAGTGAAGGAAACAGAGGCCAACTGTCTGAACTAGTATGCAATTCCTGTTCTATTGTACACAACCACCTATTCAAGCCTGATCAGGCTTGATCATCTCCTCTGATGCCAGTAGCAGATGAGATGCTGATTATCCAGAACTTACCTTTGGTAAGTGCTGGCTTTGCAGCATCATCCCTTCCTTGTCCCTGACACATGAAATTTCCTGGTGCATCTTAAGGTTTGGGCCCTGTGGTCTGGCATGGATGGACATTTGCCATGGCATCATCCCACAGAAACCCAGAGGGAAGTCCTATGCAATGTAAACTGACATAGCCACCGTTGTCTTACATGAATTGTCCCTCTGTTCTTCCAACCCACCTCACCCCAGGGGCGATAAGCAAGGTGGAGAAGGAATAAATAATTTCAGCCCATACCTCATATCCCAAGACCACATAGATCTCAGATCATACATTAATTTGGAGGGGGAAAGGGAGCGCTCATGTCTTGGCCATTCCACAGAGAGACAAGAAATCCTCTTACTGATAGAATGATTCTGAAGGTGGAAAACTGGATATTTCTATATTCCCCCTCCCCACTCCGCTGTTTTGCAGGAAGGTGGGGGAAGCCCCGTGCCGCCGCCGAGTTTCCAGGAGGGGAGGGGAGCAGGATCCCCACCCCCCAGACTGCAGTAGTTATCCCCGAGCAGGGGGGTGAGGGGCGGCGCTGCAAGACCAACCCAGCAGCACCCCAGCTGCTCTGCTCCCTGCCTGGGCCAGACAGAGGGAATTAAAAGGGTAGGGGAAATAGGGTAAAACTAGAATTTAATTGACTAGAAAATCTTTAAATTGAATGTTCTTTTTTTTAATCAAACTATGTGTTTTTCAAGTGACTGACTCCTTGCTGCTTGTCGTAAGTTCTCCTAAGTACCTATAACTTAACAGACTCTTCACTATAAGGCAAGGTCCTTACAATCTAAACATTTGGTTATTAATAAAGGAACAACTGTAAAGAGGATAATTATAATAGAGCTTAGTTGGGAACTAAAGTATATCAAATCCTGTATCATGCAGACAGAGTGTGTGTTTCATATAAAATGACTTGTCAATATGGATGAAAGAAGTGGTAAATTAAAGAAAAACATTGTATTACATTAAGAAAATCAACATCATACCGTAACTCTTAAATAATTCAGGCTGCTTCAAGGGCAGTTCAATTGTTTCTCTAATAGTTTTTAGCTGGCTGCTTAAACCACCTATCATGTCGTAGGTAACGTTAGATTTACAGTCATGTTCTTCAGTTGCAATGGTCCGATTCTTGATTAAATTGATTCTAGTTCTCGAAGAAATGAAGTAAAACGTATCCAAATTGCATTTTGCACCAATTTTGCCAGTGGGTAGCAATTTCACGCTGTCTTCATCTCCAGTTGACTCAGAACCATCAATGTCTCTAACATTCCCCTCATCACAGAACTCACGTGTCCGGCCATAATCCTGCTCACTCTCTGTCACTGCAGCATTTGAAGTAACTGGTGAACTTTGAGACATCAGCTTGCATGGAGTGCTGGTCGTTGCTCCCTCTTGGTTGTCTTCTATGTCCAACTTTCTGAGCTGGAAAGACAAGTTTAAAGCACTGGTGTCCAAGTCAGTCTTCTCAAGGACTGGTTCTTGTGTTTCACTGAAAACAGTACTGCTCTGCATTTTTAGTAGTGCCCCATCTGTTCCTTTCACCCTCGTCACCATCAAGTTGCAAGATCTGCCATAGAAGGTGAGATGCAAAAGGTTGCCAGGCAAAACTATCTTCCCATCTACAATAAGATTAGGTTTTAATAAATAAAAAGAATACATAATCTAAATTTCCAGCAATATATATTTCAAATATGAATGAATTAAAAAAATATTAATCAGTAAACTTGTAACACAGATTCACAAATGAGGCCCTAGCATGTTCTCTGAGTATCAGTGTGGCCCCCAAAGCTTCCAAAGTTGCGTTGCCCTAACTCATCCCTGATAGGTGTCTGTCTAACCTGCTCTTAAATATCTCCAGTGATGGAAATTCCACAACCTCCCTAGGCAATTTTTTCCAGTGCTTAACTACCCTGACAGGCAGGAAGTTTGTCCTAAACTTAAACCTCCCTTGCTGCAATTTAAGCCCTTTGCTTCTTGTCTTATCCTCAGAGGCCAAGGAGAACAATTGTTCTCCCTTTTCGTTGTACCCTCTTAGATACTTGAAAACTGCTATAATGTCCCCTCTCAGTCTTCTCTTTTCTAAACTAAACAAGCCCTGTTCTTTCAGTCTTCCCTCACTGTCACATTTTCTAGACCTTTAATCATTTTTGTTGCTCTTCTCTGGAAATGCTCCAGTTTTTCCACATCTTTCTTGAAATGTGGTGCCCAGAACTGGACACAGTATTCCAACTGAGGCCTAATAAGCACAGAGTAGACCAGAAGAATGACTTCTCGTGTTTTGTTTACAACACTCCTGTTAATGCGTCACAGAATCATGTTTGCTTTTTTCCCCCAACAGTGTCACATGATTGATTCATGTTTAACTTGACATCCTCAATGGCCCCTAAATCCCTTTCAGCATTACTCCTTCCTAGACAATCACTTCCCATTCTGTATGTGTGAAACTGTTTGTTCCTTTCTAAGTGGAATACTTTGCATTTGTCCTTATTAATCTTCATCCTATTTACCTCAGACCATTTCTCTAGTTTGCCCAGATCACTCTGAATTTTGACCCTATCCTGCAAAGCTCTTGCAACCCTTCCCAACTTGGTATCATCTGCAAACTTAATAATCGTACTCTCTACACCATCATCTAAATAACTGATGAAGATTTTGAACAGAACCAGTCCCAAAGCAGACCCCTGCAGAATCCCACTTGTTATGCCCTTCCAGCAGGATTGTGAGCCATTAATAACTACTCTGTGATAATGGTTGTCCAAGCAGTTATGCACCCACCTTATAGTAGCCCTATCTAGGTTGCATTTCCCTAGTTTATTGATAAGGTCATGTGAGACCGTATCAAATGCCTTACTAAAGTATAGACCCCGTCCACAACTTCTCCCTTATTCATAAGGCTTGACAGCCTATCAAAGAAAGCTATCAGATTGGTCTGACATGATTTATTCTTTACAAATCCATGCTGGCTCTTATCTATCACCCTATTATCTTGCAGACATTTGCAGATGGGTTCCTTAATTACTTGCTCCATTATCTTCCCTGGCACAGAAGTTAAACTGACAAGTCTGTAGTTTCCTGGGTCGTTCTTATTTCCTTTTTCTAAATTTGCCCTTTTAACTGTCTTCTGGAATCTCTCCTGACTTCCATGATTTTTCAAAGATGACATCTAAATGCTCAGATACCTCCTGAGGTAATTTTTAGCTTTTTCTTTTAACTTCTAAACCTACCCCATTTCCACTAGTATTCTCTATGTTAGACATCCCATCACCTAAAAGTCAAAGTGATAAAGACAGGAAGGATACAGCTCTCATCTAAAATGATCTCTTCAAATGCAGCCAGGATAAATATTAGGAGTGACTGGCCATTGATACATTTCTGGTTGTTTTATATTTTGAAGTTCATAAAAAGATACAGATTAAGGAATTGCCTTTGCTAGAAATAGAAACTCTGTTTATTAGTGTCCACTGGCTCAAGTTTTATCACAATGAGAGATACAATGGTTTTACTTTGACTCCAGGAGCTGGGATTTATGTGCTTATGTAAGAATCTCAGCATTCTGGCTCCTTTAAAAAAAATCCTCCTGGTTACAGAGAATGGCTTGAAAAAACATAGCCCAACTGCAGCCTAAAAGCTCAAAAACCAAAAGGTAAAGAAAAAGAAAAAATGTATTTTTACTACATGATTTTGAATCCAATCTCATGATTTTTTAACTTCTGGGGTTGGCAATATTGCTATTAAGCTAATGATGGAGTACAATCCATTGCTCTTATTCAATAGCAATTAAACATTTGAGTAGCTGGACAAAGGATGTTAAGAAGTGGGTAACTGACTAACCGTGTAGTCAATAATATTTGTATTAACTACACGATTAGTTGATATAAGGATTCTAGGGGGGGTCCAGGAGCTACCCCCAATGCGGCTCTGCAATTTAAATGTAGTAGGAGTCAGGCATGCAGGCAGCCCAGCTCCTACTACATTTAAACTGCAGAGCCGCAGCAGGGGTAGGTCCCAGTCCCGGCTCATGCTGGTCTGGGACTGCTGCGCCTCTGCCTCCTTTGTCTCCCTCCAACCTGCACTGCGGAGCAGCGGTTCACCCCAGTACCAGCTCCTGTTTCCACCCCCTCCTGCCCTTGCTGCCTCTGTCAGAATGTGGAGAAGTGAGTAGTCGAGTACCCGACTTGACTACCCAATAAGCCTAGGCGTAAGACTACTCAACTAGTCACTTACATCCCTAAGCTGGACAAAACTTTTTGATAGCTATGTAGCATAATTTCCTTTCTAACTCACTCCTGCCTATCTACAAAACAAAGAGAGTCAGGTTAGTCTGATGAGATAGGAAGCTGTGGGTGCCAAATAAACTGAACGTAAATACTGCTACCCTAAAAACTATACTAGACCTCACAGGAGAGTATTGAATTCTCTCTCCTCATATCAGAAATAAACCCATAACCACAACTGTTGGAAGTGCAACACATGATAATGCAAAAGACCAAGAAAGACTCTAAACCAATCCAGAATGAACTGACAGGAACTATGTTCCATGCAAGTATATTGTTATTTTACATTTATACCTATGAGAGAGTGGAGAAAGGAGGGCCCAGCATCACAGGGGTTAGAGAAACCCTCTGGACTCAACTAGCACCGCCCCGCTTTACCTGCAGCCTGCATCAGGCCTGGAGGGAGGAATAAAAGGAAGGATCCCAGCTCAGTTTGGGGCTGACTAGTGACAAAGCAGGAGCCTGGTTTAGCAATCTAAGGACATGAGCATGTCGGCTCAGTAGCCACCGGAACAAATAAACTCTCACCTCCACCCCCTGGGAAGCCCCAACTAAGGAGAATCTAGACTCTTGGGGCCATGGACCAAATTTAAGGACTCGAATAGGGAGTGGTTCAGAGTGTTGACCAGTGGGACAGAGTCCCCTGCCCCCCTTTTCCACCTTCTTACTCAGCAACCTAGCCATGAGGTTATACAGCCCCCAGGGAGCCAGCCACAATACCATAGTGAGGTGATGACACCCAGTTCACTAAAAAAAATTAAGAAGTTCATAAAACAGGCTAAAGGCCTATGACAAAGTGTTAAAGAGGCGAAGGCACTTTGGTATAAGCCTTTGATGAAGATAATGGATGACAGCTACTTACTATCAAAAACCTGCTTCTCTAATAAAATACATATGTAAAACAAAAACCACAAATCACTTACCTAGATTTCTCAGAAGACAGACAGACAATTCTTCAACATTAATACAGGCATCTTTCTCCCTGTGGTTGTGATGAAAAACAATTTTTACAATCTTCTAGTAATTCTAAAAACATTTACTCATATTAACAGTTCATTTTTGCAGGATCAAATATAATTTACCTCTGCAAACAGAAGAAACTGATGGGCAAATTTACACATTGTTCTACATGAGTCAGTCTAGTCATAAAAACAATGTAAATATGTTTTCTAAAGCTAATTAACAACCAGTTTAAATATTAAAAATGTGTTTGGATTTTTTTCATAAAAATACTAAATATTTACAACACAAGTCAAGATGTATAGTTCTTTAAGATGACAATCATGAAGTACATATATCTCTAAAGGGACTACTGGTCTGACTCACAGTGAAGGTCATTACTACACTTATTGAATCAATAAATACATAAAAAAGACTATTTTATACTGCAGAACTATTATTGACAGCATGGACAATACATGCATTTGTAACGGTAAACAACAAATGTGAAGATTTATCAGTCTGAGCACTTAGCCCTTTTCCCTGACTATGCAAAGTTTTCCTTCTGGTATATTTTCTAGTATTGTACTTCATGCAACCAGTTTTAAATGAGGGATCTTACACCATTTACCTATCAAGAGTATCTATGATCTAACCAAAAAAAAACAATGCTTTTGGGGTTTTTTTTCCCCTCTTAGCCTAAATTTTCTTTATCTCTGTTTCATCCCTAATTTTACTTTTTATCATTACCACACTAAATAATTATTTCACTTCTGTGGTATTAACAGTTAGACCCTTGAAATATCTGTGGATGATCACCACAAATTATCCTTTTCTCTTGCAAGCTAAAAGGGAAAGATGCTTCTCAAAAACATAAATCAAAATGTTAAAAAAATGGATACACAAATTGCAACTAAAATTATGGTCAAGAGAGGGAGCTCTAAATCTACTAATCAGAAAAGTCCCTTAAATATTTTTACTGATCAAGGAGAACATTCTAGGAAAAGAAATATGTAATACATTTTTGAGAAACTTCAAGTCACTATACAATGTTTTTGCCCTAATGCAGCAAACACTTACGTATTTAATTACCTTATGCCTCGTGAAATGAGGTTTACAGGATCGGTCAGCAAAGGCTTTCCTTGCTGACCGATCCGCGTCTTGACTGCCGGGTTGTGTCGACGATCAGCTGAGCTGGCACAGCGTGGCAGCCATTTTTATTTTAATGAAGAGGGGGATATTTAAATCCCCGCTTCACTGACTATGTCGGGTAGTCTAATTTGCATGCCTCTGCCGACAGAAGCATGTAGTCTAGACATACCCTCACAGCCCCAAGGAAGGCACCGCACACTGACATCCCTATTTTGTATTATCCTGATATACTTCCCTTCATGATTTTATTTTTCCTTTTGGATTATCCATAAAAAAACCCCACACTGGTGGCACAGGGCTGGAAGAGCTGATGCGGACAGGGCAGGCCCTGCCCCTCTAGCCCAGTCAATAATCTCAAGGGTGTTATAAGGGTTTTAAAGCAGGAAGTTCCAGACTGTTGTTGGGAGATAGCAGTTCTTTGGCTCCCTAGAAAGCTTCAAAGAAATTGACCTCAAGGATAAAGGCTGACCCTTTAGAAGAAGAGAGCATACTCTGATAGACCAGCCAGGCAGGATGGGTTTGGAAAGCCCCAAAGCAACCGGTTAGGTGGTCAGCACTGCTATTTTCAACCTCTCCTGGGGTTAAGGAATCAGACCATACTAAAAGGACCTGGGGAAGGAGAGCCCCTTCAAATCCAGTCAGATTATTCTGCACAGTTTAGTATCACCAAGACTCCTGTTCATGCAGTTTTGCAGCACCCGAACAACAGGAAGCATCACACACCAGTACGCAATTTGTAAATGGATACAGGACACATTAAATCTTCCAGTCAATTTAGCAAGCACCAATTCATCAAATTTGAGCGCAGAACTCCTACAGGAGCACCAGCCCAGGAGTCATTCCTCCCATGTTACTTCCTAGAACAAAACAATGCCCCAATTAGGAATGTTAAAATTAAATTAATCAACTAATCGAATAGTCAATGGAATGTCCACTAACTATCTGATTAGTCGATAAGGGCACTTCCACTGTGAAATGTAGCAAGAGTCTGCCCGGCTGTTGCTACATTTCAAAGGCGGAAGTGCCACGGGGCGTTCCGCCTTTGAAACATACAAAAGCCCCAGTAGGGATTCTTGTGCATTTCAAAGATTAAAACTTAGCAGGGAGCTTGGGGCCAGTGGGGGACCCCATCTGGTGAAATGCCACATTGGAGGCCCCAGGCTCCGTGCAGTGCTTCCGCTTTGAAATGTACAAGAGCCCCAGAGGGCTGCACCCCTGCCTCCTCCCATGAAGCTTGAGGGATCCAGCTTTTAAGCCGGCTTCCCCCCAGCATCCCTTCCTCTTTTTCCCCCTCCTTGCTGCCTCTTTCTGACAGTAGACTAGTGTGTCAACTATCTGATAAGCTTCTGCTTATCAGATAGTTGATTAGTCACTTACATCCCTAGCCCCAAATCTGCAAATACATTAAGTATGCACTTAACTTCAAGCACATTAGTCCCATTAAAATGGAAAGTGAACTTCCATCCACCTACAACAGGCCTGAATTTGATCTATGATGCACGGATCTCAGAATGTATGCCCATTGGTAGGTACTGTTCCCAGAAAAATTTCAAACCTCAGCTTCACATCTACTTCTTCTGCCTGCACCACGGCACCAACCACAGGCTGGACTGTGACTGCATCACCAGGTTTCACGCGCAGATTCTTCTGAGTGATTCCACTTAGGCCAACTTTCCCGCCTGGAAAGCCTGCAATTGGCCAAGCAGTGCAGACCTACATAAGAGATTCAAATAAAAAAAAACCACTTGGTGAATAAGATCTTTTTCAAATGCCATTCGTTAGTAAAAGCTGAAAAAGCTTCATGCCTTTGAATCAAACTCCCCAAGGGATTAAGGATTGAGTTATAATGGAATGTACCACAAACACTTAAAATACAAAGCAATTAGCACTGGGCTCTTTAAGGGCTCAACTAAAATGCTTTCTAAAAATAAGACAAATTTTGTGAAGACAGAATACATAACTAAGAGTAGAGTTTTTCCTATAGATAATGGAAGAGCAGAGTTAAGTATCTGTGACTCATTCTTCTTCACCATTTAAAAAAAAAAAAAATTGGAGTGACTTTAAATAATTCATTATTGAAAACAACTAATGGCACTAGCTAAATCCAGGCCTAGAACAATCAGAAACTGTGCACAAGTAACACCATGCATCAACAATAGCCTGATACACAATACATCTGCTATCTCAATACTCGAGGTTAATACATAATCACTCTAAATCGTACGGAAAACTAGAATTCAAAACGGAATTTTGAAATCTCCACACATCTCCCACTTGTGATTTATCTTCAATCCTAATTCCAATCCACCATTCAGCCATGTACAAAATTAACCTAACAGATAAAAAAAGAAATCTCACCTCTTGTTTTCCATCTGTGCTGGTAAGCAAGACTGGTCGACCTATGCATACATTTGCTGATTTCATACTGTTGAGTCCTAGTTGTACAAGGACTCTTCTGTACATTGTAGGAACTTTGTCGTCTGCTAAAATATTAGAGAAAATAGGTCATTATTTTGTACAGTAAGTGATTTTAGTACTTACAACATATGTCAACACAGAGGGACAAGACTGCAAAGAGAACTCCTCGGTTCCAACATAAAACAATTACATTCATTACTCATGCTGTAAGATTCACTACACTACAAAAACATGCCTGTCTTTTCAACATCTATGCCATCAATTCTAATGCAAGACGGTGAACCGTGATGGTGGGATTTGTGGCATTAACACATGAGGAACTGGACAGACAGCCACAATTAATTTTAAGAAAGCTTGAATACACGTACTGCCTTTGGACTTTGCTCCTACAGAAGAGGTTACATCTCCTTTGAATCTCCCTTGAAAGCCAGTTTCTTTCCTGATTTTTTGGTGGCAGTTCTCTCCTATTCAACTATTTTGAAGAGCTATCAGATTATAATTTACAGTCACTATTATTTTGCTCCCAATTTGAATCAGTGACATAGAGGAAAAGGTCAATGTTTGTGTGTCCCATCCCATCACCAATCCCATCATCTTTTCAATACCTAATATGGCAGGCAGATGGCCACTGAAAAGAACAGTGCAACAGAGGAGACATGTCCCATAAAAGTATTTCTGCCAGAGAACATTATGTATTTTTTTAATACTAGAGTCTATTCCCAAATTATTTAGTTTAATTGGGAGCTGCTGCAGCATGAAGACAGAAAGCAAAAAGAAGAATGCTTTCATGCATAAAAGAGCAATGAGCAGAAAACCTTTTTTTATAATTGTATATTACTGCTTTCTTAATTAGTTATTAGCTTTAATAAGCAGTTTCTGTGGAGTTATGTTTGAATATATAGGATCTATACAGAAAAGACTTTTTAAAAAGATCAAAAAGCTCCATTTAATGGCATAGCCAACCTGAGTGGGCAGTACCTGCTCTTGTATAAGCCTTTTAGTACCCTGTAACTCTTTTTACACTAAGAATAGTTATGGTTCCAACCCTGCAAATGCTTACACATAAGAAGCCCCCATTAAAGTCAGTAGGAATACTTGTGTGAGTATGGTCAGTTTCAGCAGTGGCAGTGGCAGACTTGGGGAAGCAGTGCGGAGCGGCTCCAATTGTCCAGCTGGCCGGATCACTTTTGGGTTCCAGTTGGTGCTGGACTATCGGGAATGCCAGACCACTGGATGCTGGACAATTGGAGTTTTCCTGTATGTTGCAGCAGCACAGAGTAGATAGTGTGAAATAAATATAGACCCTAATCTTGCAGGGTATGTCTACACTACCCCCCTAGTTCGAACTAGGGGGGTAGTGTAGACATACCCTGCAAGATTAGGGTCTATATTTATTTCACACTATCTACTCTGTGCTGCTGCAACATACAGGAAAACTCCAATTGTCCAGCATCCAGTGGTCTGGCATTCCCGATAGTCCAGCACCAACTGGAACCCAAAAGTGATCCGGCCAGCTGGACAATTGGAGCCGCTCCGCACTGCTTCCCCAAGTCTGCCACTGCCACTGCTGAAACTGACCAGCAGCAGACTTGGGGATGCTGCGGAGCAGAGCAGCTGGGGTGCTGCCGGGCGCCGAGCAGGGGAGTGAGGGGCAGCAGTGTGGGACCAACCCAGCAGCACCCCAGCTACTCTGCTCCGCAGCTTCCCCAAGTCCGCCGCTCATCAGTTTCAGCAACGGCAGCTGTGGAAGCGGCAGGGAGCAGAGCAGTTGGGGTGCTGCCGGGTTGGTCCCGCAGCGCCGCCCCTCACCCCCCCTGCTTGGGGATAACTACTGCAGTCTGGGGGTTTGGGAGCCTGCTTCCCTCCCCTCCCAGAAACTCTTGGGGTGGCATGGGGTTCTCCCCTCACCACACAGTTCCCCCCAAGCTCCCAGACGCAGTGCAGTACCTCTCGATACTCCAGCATATCCAATAATCTGGCACCACCTAGGTCGCAAAAGTGCTGGATTATCAGAAGTCTACTGTAGTAGGTGTGACTTTTTGTTCCAATCCTATCAGATCTATGCCATCATACCTTTGCACAAGTATAAGGTGAAAACAAGGTCCCGTAGGGCACCAACTGCGAAGTTGCAGCTTCACACTGTAACCGTTTCAGTCTTATTTATGTTGCACAGTTCACCAGACATACTTGACAAAACTATCCACAAATGCAAACCAATAGTAAATGTTTGTATGCAACTCTGCATCCCACATGGCAAAAAAAAAAAAAAATAATCACATTTCCGATCGCTTGTTTGTTTGTTTGTTTTTGGAAGAGGACAACGTCGACTCTGTTGCTGTGTAGTGAGCTTTAAAACCCGAACGTGTGCACATTTGCGCTTGTTTCCCCTAAAGGCACAGAGAAAGGGCGTTTTACTTGAATGTCAGCGCGTTTAAAACGCTGCAACCCCGCGGCTGTGCCGATGTATTGTAACACAACCTGCAAATCGGCTGAGCCAGGAAAGCCACAAAAATCCCATTTGGGTGTTGCAGAAAAACAGCAACCCCCCCCCCCCCCCCA